GCAGAATTAGAGAATCACCCCAGTCACATTCTAAGAGAGATAGTGAGGTATGACGCTTTCCACAGATGGAAGCACAAAGACCGAAACAACAGATAGTAGACTAAAAGAAAACGAGAGAGAGAAATAAACCCCCCCCCCCCCAGAGGGAAACGTAATCCTACAAAACCCTAGAGAGACAAGAAATTCCAAAATCATAACACACACACAAGGAAGATAGTTCGTAGCTCAAATCACCCAGGATACCGCATATTGCCTCGTACACCGTGGGTCCAGCTGCTCATACAAGGATACAGCCTGTATTGTGGTAGCGTATATTTTATATATTTTCTTTATTATAATATAGACTATATACTAATTATAATTTTTTGTCCACAGGTTACCTACAAAAAAAATCACAAAAAACACAAAAAACCGGCTTCGGCCACCAAAAAAATTAAAAAAACCGGCTTCGGCCACCAAAAAAATTAACAAAAACCCCAAAACCCGGGCACGTAGGTGGTGCCCAACCCCTTGAGCACCAAGTCGCCGAACTGAGCCGGGACTCAGAGCGGAGACTTGAGGCCTAAGTAAGCAATTTTAGTTCGCGGATAAGCCACATTAAGATAACAGGAATATAGCGGAGATGCACTGTCCTGAGTTTTTGCAATTGGTTAGGAAACCATGTTGGGGTTCTATTACCCAGGACCTCCACATGAAGAGCATTTGGCTGATTGTTGTGCCTCTATAGCGCATCAGAGTGCTATAAGGGGAAAGGGATGGTCTAGAGCATTGGAGCACGGTGGGGTGACTCCTATTTTTTACTCGAGTTAACACACCTTGCTCCAATGAATTGTTACACCATCGTAATACCTGGGTGAACATTTCTCATAGGCTGGGTTCAATTAAATTGCTTGCTTGATCGGGACTTCAGTTGTCAGACACTTCGAGCCCTACTAGACCTTGTTGGTTAGTGGTGCTTCCTAGTAAAACTGTTGTTTCATTATTATTCCAAATATCCAAATCGTCCTTACGTCGAATTTTAACGATTACACCGACTTCGAAGATCAGCGAGTATTTCTAATCCAGACGTCAAAGATATCTGAAGGCATCATTCGTTGTCTGCTATTATATCACAGTGCACGAAAAGCCGAGTATCAGCTGTAGAATCGCTCCCTGTCATATATTACATACGCTTTTTGAAATAGAAAAACAGTAGTTTTAAAACTATTACAAATTGCGTCGAACTGACACCGACGATTTATCGAACAACGACGGTGAATACGAGAAGTCTCGACGGAGACTTATATTCAATTTCACCGCTCCGAGTCAAGCCACGACGACGCGTCGACACTTTGAACCTTATGCATTTTTCAGTAATTAGTGAACACTGGTAAAACTGATAGTGCGAAAGGTGGTGTACAAAGCGACGGGCTATTGCAGAGCCGATACAACGGGCATTTTTTGTGCCTCTTTCTAGGAGACAGAATGCGGCGATTTCTGATAAGGAGGAAACCGACATCTCTCCAATTTTGAGGCATATACCACGCAACAGAATTCTAACACATATTGTCATTGTAAGAAATATATTATCATTGTAAGAAAGCTTGAACTGTTAGAGAATTCTGTTTGCCGGTGTCACCTCGCTTGTTGCAGAGGCTCGATAGAGCTTCTTGCACTAATAAGCCGGTATCTGTACCAACTCCTATACGAAGATGGATCATCGCAATACGAGATCATCTTCTAGAGGTCGCTGAGCGTCGAGAAACTCCAGATAATGAAGAAGATGCTACGGCCGTACGACAATACTCTTAAAAAAGTTATATTGACTAATACTTAGTACGATCCGTGTAACTAGTGCCCTCTATGAGAATCAGATATAAAAACAAATTCATACGATGTATCAGCTTCCAAAACATATCGTATAAAATTGCATTACAATGTTGCCAGTAGTTTCGGCAAAATCGTAAAAAATGCGTAAATGTTTGTTTTCGTCAACGCCCTGTATCTTGAAAACGGATGGCGTTACAAAAATTTTTTACTAAGCAAACCCCAATTATTTTTTAGTTTTTTACCTACCCTAGAGACGGGGTTACCTTTTTTTGAATACCCTGTATATATATATATATATATATAATATATATATATATATATATATATATATATATATATATATATATATATATATATATATATATATATATGTGTATATATATATATATATATATATATATATATATATATATATATATATATAAGCAAAAAAATTTAATCTTTGCAGATAAGTTAAATAGTAAACTCTTAAATATTGGGAAAATCTGCAAGAAAGACTCTAATGAGTATCAATTGTTTCGCCGAACGTTTTCGCCAAAGAGAATTAATTTGGCTTCTTCAGGGCTGACAGAGAATAAATTATATTTAGCTACCATATATTATCTATTAAAAAAACATTTGATCTTACCGTAACTTTAGAGTTATCGAGTTAGGATGTTAAAAAACTTAGCTAGTAACAACATAGTGGTGTTTTTGTTACTGTTATTTTCAACGTTGGAAATGTATGGTAGCTTTAAACTTAAAACGTAATAGTTTACCCAAGGTTAATCGAAAAACCCAATGTAACTACATTTAAAAGGAAGTAGTTCTTTCAAATGTCGACAAATCAGTAGATCTTTTGAATCTTTATGTCGTTAAGGTTCATTGGTAAAACCGAATGAAGGTAAATCCCAGTCTGAGGAAATATTTTAGATTTTCTTAATTGAAATTATTATTATATTGTTCATATATTATTATAATAATATCTTATTGAGATGTATCTAAGAAAAGCAAGGGAATGTTATATTTTTTAGTTAATGAAAATTATTATTAAGTAGGTTAGTTGTTAATGGATATATCAGTCAAGTTAGTTATCTGTGATGTATTGTTCTTGGTATCTGATTTTAGTAAGAAGTGGTATATATCGCTCAGATTCTTAATGTTACTCTTAACATTGATGGAGATGGAGAAATCGATGATAAGGAAAATATAAGACATTTCAATGAACTCTCTTTTAGATTTATTGTTCTCACGGTGGAGAATTGTAGGGTTAGTATAGTCCATAGATGACCAGTGGAATGGACATGTTTAGCTAAAGTACAGTGGTCAGAGTGAAGTCGAGAATCACTTTTGTGTAGTGTAATGCGTAATTTCAATAATTGAGATGTTTGTCCGATGTAGAAATTGCTGCAAGAGAGGCATGGAATGTTGTAGACAATGTTATTAAGCCTATCTATGGGAGTCTTATCTTTTATCTTAGAATAAAGATTATTAATTGTTAGGGCTGATCTACAAGCCACATTAAGTTTAATGTTGTTATTATTATTACCAAAACTATTTTCAACACTTGTTAGAATCCTTGTTAACCCGGGAGTAATATCTATGAAATATGGTAATGAAAAATTTCTGTTGGTATTTCTGGTATTTGGGTATTTGTTGATAGGAGTATCCGAGACTGGGTTCCCACTTAAGACATCAGGATCAGCATTGTTAGTCGCGAAGGAAGGTAAAGTTTGAAATAAAAAGTTTCTGTAGGATTTGTACGTTTTTTGTATGAAATGAAGGATCTGATAGTTTTAATACTCTATTTTCATCTGTTTGATTAAGTTGACTTTGGTAGAATTATTATGGTAAGAGTGGTAGTTAAGGTATCTACCAGAATGGGTCGGTTTTTGATACCAATATATTTTAATGTTGTTGTTTTCCCTGATCATCCTTATGTCAAGAAAGGGGACGGACCAATTACCATCTTCCCTCTCTATAGTGAACTAGATGTAGGGGTCATAACTATTGAAAGTGTATAATAGTTCATCTATTTTGTCCTGGGGTATAGCCAAAAGGATATTATCAACATTAATACATGGAATTTGGAAGGATAGTAAAGGAATAACTGGGTCTAATACATAATCCATAACGTAAGTTGCAATATTGTTCTGAAGCTATTTTCTTGTGGCATTGTAAATTAATTACTATTTATAACTGGGAATAAGCCACAATTAAAGATAAAAATACGTTTATTGACGTTTCAATTTCCAATTCGGAAATCGTTCTCAAAATACAAACAGTAAATTAAACAAATTTTGTTTTTTGTTACATAGTGAAAAAAATTCTTCTAATAATTTAATTTTATCTGACTCATTTATATTGACAATTCAGACATACATTATGCATTTTAAGTAGACGACTTTAAAATGATATTGCCAATATTGTTGAGTTGCGCTCCTGGGACGACTTTACTTATAAGATAGTTCATTCGATTACATGAAATCAACTTTAACTTGAGAATATCCATCAGAAAAAATCATAGCATCTAATTCGTCTTTAAAAAGACAAACACATGACATGATGACAGTAAAATTCTCCTGTTAGTGATTCCATAGTAAATTATGAGGGAAAAACCAGGAAAAAAACCTCATAATACTATACCGACATTGTAAGTATTTGTTCGTGAATTTAGTTTACCTGCAACAAACATCAAAAATTCTGATTTTATATGTTACGTTATTTAAACACATAAATGATGTATCCTCCATATGTTACTGACTTACTAAATATAGTAAGTAAGTAAATATAGTATAAATAAAGTAAATATAGTAATATAAATAGTAAGTAAGTTGCAATGATAGGAGAAATCTTTGCTCCCATAGGAGTACCGAAAGTTTGTTGATATAATTTACCAATAAATGAGAAGTAAGTGTTGTTAAAGAGAAATTCGACGATGCTGATGAATCTTATGACATGAAACAACAACCTCTAATACGGTCCCAGTTGATCTCTATTGATGTCAAACATATTCCTAGATGAACGATGCTGAATAAGGATACATAATAAAAAGGACAGAGAATAAATATATAAATAATAAAATGTTTTTTTATTCGCCACACCATCCAGACTTGTTCTACAGATTAGACGAACCTGTAGAAATGTAGTAAAAAATTATAACCCGTGGTCTCTACGACCTGCAGTACACTACGGCAATGTTAGATACTTACTCCAAACTTCCAGCTATTAAGGAATGGAAATATCTAAAAGCTGAAGTTGCATGTTCATTCAAGATAGTTGGATTCACATTTTCATCATAATCGTTTACAAAATCTTTGGTATTGTACAGAATATTATTTTTTAAAGAATTTTGCTCCCCAATAAAAATTGGTAACCATTCGTAGTACGTTATCTGCTGATGTTGAGCGACGTTTATAATTCTTGATTCTTGGAATAGAGTCTCATCATCCCAGTGAGGATTAAGTTTGGCCAAAATTCCTGCGATTCTGTTATGTTCCCTAAGAAGAACGATTTGAAGTAACGTAAGTTGAGGATTTTGGTTAACTCTGGCGTCACCTTAAAAAAATAATTTAAATTATTTATTAAGAATAATAAGCATGTTTCAGTTAAATAATTATAAATACAAACGAATTTTAAATCTTTCTTTATACATATTCTTTAAAAACGAAATATTTCATTTATGATACAATAATATATTTCTTTATGATTAGAATGAAAATTCAGTACTAGTGGAAGATTCGGAACGAGAGCGTTGGCAAACATGAAGAACCACGAATATCTTCTAGTAGACTGTATTTTCGTTACGGCCAGAAAATATTTATCAAAGCCGAAAAAATCCGAACAAAATATGTAATTTGTCTGCAGTCCTTCGGTATGATTTATTAAATCGAAAGTTTCACTTTACACAAATCATACCAGAAGCAACTATTTTCGGGACGATTTTTTTCACATGGAACGTATTTTTACTTTTGGAATATTTTGAGTTCTAACGAAGTAGGCGGGCAATATTATCAACTAGTATTTTTATCATGACAGCTCTTGCCATATAAGATTTGAAAGTGTTTTCGCTTTTTCATTTGAAAAAATGAAAATCATTAGTGAAAGTGACGCCAAAGTGATTCCACATAAGATCAGTGACGATGTTAAAACGGCTACTTATGAATTATTGTCGCTAAGTCAACAGGCTAAGTTAGATATAAGACTACTAAAAGAACAAAAAAAAAATAAATAAAAACAGAGAAAGATTTTTGCGAAAATAGTTAAAGACAATACTAGAGGCAAAGAAGAACAGTGAAACGAAATAAAGAAATCTATTACCACAATTTCGCACGAATATCTAAAATCAAAAGGAGAAAAGAAGCATCAATGGATGAAAGATAAAATACTGCAGATGATGGAAGAGTGAAGAAAATTAAAAGGTTAAAATGACAACGAATACAAAAAGTTGCATAAGGCTATACTAAAGGAGATAAAAGAAGCAAAAGAAGCATGGCCGACAGAGAAATGTACGAAAATTGAAACACTACAACGGAAACATGACGATTTCTATATACACAAAAATATTAAAAAGGTACAGCATACCAGAAAACAACGCAATACAGGTATAATTGTAGACAATAAAGGCTAGATTTTGACTACCATTGAAGATAAATTACAAAGACGGCAAAAATATATGCAAGAATTATTAGAAGATGCAAAACGAAGTCCGACTGAAATAAACCATTTCTACGGCACAAAAATATCAAACGAAGAAGTAACTATGGTCATTAGCGGATTGAAGACGAGAAATCACCAGGATCTGATGAGGTGCATGGTGAAATTTTAAAGCTATTAACGCTCACCAAATCACAGCCCTTACGAAGCTATTCAACATTTACGAGACTGGTTATGTACCAAAAGACTGGCTACTATCAATATTCATTCTACTTTCAAAAAAACCAACGCTAGAAAATGCGAATAATATAGATTAATTAGTTTGATGAGCTATACACTTAAAGTACTCCTTACTATAATTCCCTCGCGCATGTACACCAAATTAGAAGAACGCCTGAATGAAGTTCAATCCAGTCCAATTTGGATTCAGAGCAGGACTCGGAACGAGGGAAGTACTTTTTAGTTTGCAAGTTCTAATTCAGGGATGTCAACTGCGCTGTATATGCATGTTTCATTGATTTTGAGAAGGTATTTGATAACGTCCCACATGAGAAACTAATAGATATCCTAAAAACATCAGGACTCGATGGTAAGGATATAAGACTGATATCAAACTTATATCTCCAACAAAAAGCAACAGTGCGATTAAAAAATGAACTGTCAGAGGTCTTGATATTATTCGAAAAAATTAGTTAGACAGTTAGACAGGTTACATATTGTCACCGGTATTATTTAACAATCAATCAATCAATCAATAATGCCTTTTATTTCTCAATATAAAAAAATACAATACAATACTTTTAGTGACATTTGTTCTCCTTGGCACATGCCGTCAGGATGGTTGGCAAACAAATATTCCCTAATTAATATACAAAAAATTACACAAAAGGCTTATTCTATCTAACAAGGCCATTAAAATAAATAAAAAATAAATTATGTAAATATGCATATAAATGTTAGTAATAAACTAAATGTATATATCCTACTAAGTAACACTTCGCACTAGACTTAACAATAATAACAATGTATAACAGTGAGGTATAGATTACAATTGAAAAGATTGAATATCCCTTTGAGGGAATGAAAGCTGCAGATACAACAATAATAATAGTAACAATAATAATAACAATATTAGTCAAGATAGACCAGATAGATAAAAAGATAATAGATATAAGCAAACAAATTATTAATCCTAATTTTAATATAACACCACGCTAATAGATTTAGTAGTTAAATAGGCTTACTAACTCATACCTATACACCCATGCCTCCCTACAATAACCTGCTAACTCAGCCTTGCCCTGTCTCATCATAGTAACTACTTCCACTCTACTAAGTTCATGTCTACCCAACCACTTTAACCTAATATGTCTCAACACCCAATATTTTCCCAAAAAATGTATCACATCTTCCCTTTCCTTCGTGTTACACATTGAGCAAAATCTTCTTTCATCATTTCTCCCAGGTCGATCATTCAAATATAAAACCCCACATCTTAATTTAAAGAGCCATCGAATATCCCCAAAATTTTCCATTTTCAGTAGGTAATGCATGTTTACACCTTCCCGCAGTTTTCTGTAGTGTCAACAAAAATTTGATTCGAGTGCCCTGTTCTCAGCCTGACGCTGTATCTCCTCCTTCTTCTTTTCTATCATATTCTCAATCATACTAGGCCAGCTATCTCTCCATTCCCATTTACACCTAACCTCAATACCAAATTTTTCTCCCATGCTCATCCAATCTTTCCACCAGCCACACCTTGCTCTCATCATTTCCTTCAAAAGAAATTTTGGCAACCTATCATTCGTATATCCTAGTATTTTTTTGACATAGTTTTTATGTAAGTTCATCGTATATAGGCTGACTCTAGCAATACCTGTCTCCAAATCTAACATAAAGTTAGGACAATACCTTGGACAAGAAAACATTTTTTTTATATAAAATCTTCTGATTATTTCCACCTCATCGTACTCAAAAATACCCGAGACCCATAAGTCAAAATCGATCTTACCACTGACTCATACACTGTTACTTTAGCCAAAAAGGGTATTTCAGCCTTAGACACTAAACTACTCCAAGCCGTGTGAATCGCCACTTTTGCCAAACTCTGGCGCTTTTTTAGATGAGCTTTATACGACAACTTGGGTGTTAATATCATTCCTAAATAATTATAGTTATTCACTACCTCTAATACTCGATCATTGAGTTTCCAAAATTCCCTGATCACACCACCTCCTCTTCTGAACACAAGAATTTTGTATTTATCTAAATTTATTTTTAGATTCCACATCCTGCAGTATTTTTCTAGTTCATTAATCATCCGCTGTAGCACCTTCGAATTGATTGCCATTAAAACCAAATCATCTGCATATAATGAAAGTCTTATAATTAAACCATTTATTTCCAAACCGCCTCCCAATGCTTCATGTAGGTCATTTAAGAAAAGCGCAAATAGCAATGGACTTAAAAGACATCCCTGTCTCACTCCTACATTACAGTCAAACCAGTCAGATAGACCTTCCCTTGACCAGACTGCCGATTTTGTATTCGCAAACATACTTTTTAACAAATTCAGCACTTTAGTAGATAATCCTAAATGACTCAACTTGTAAAAAAGTGCCCGCCGGTCAACTGTATCAAAAGCAGCACTAAAGTCCACAAAAAATGTATAAACATTTTTTACTCCCCGTGCATGTTGGATTTTTACTATACTTGTAAGATTAAAAATGTTGTCTATAGTTGAATAGCCAGTTCTATATCCTGCCTGGAACTCGTTTAAAATGTTATTATTTTGTACCCACGAGGTAAGTCTAGTTAAGAAGCTAATACCTCGGTAACTTTCTACATTCTCCATGTTTCCTTTCTTATAAACAGGAAAAATTATTGCATTATAAAATCCCTGAGGAAAGTCTGGTTTGTCGAAAAAATTATTGGCAAGCCTAAGTACAAGCACTTTTCCGTTTTCTGGAAGAAACTTGTAAAACTCAGCAGCAATTCTATCCACTCCTGGCGCTTTATTTGGTTTTAAAGAATCCAATGATTGCATTAGTATTATTTAACATATACTCTGAAAACATATATAGAGAGGCTATAGGTAAATGCTTTTGCAAATGCCTTGCCCATGAGTTCAGCTACGCCATACAAGCTTATAGGACGCCCAGGATGGGTCATCATCCACTCATTAGCTATGGTGTTGTAGGTTTTGTATGGTCCAAAAACAGTCCTGTCAAGAGTTTGAGTTCTGTGCGGGGTGTCTGGCGGCATATTATATAATATTGCCGCCACGCACGTTAATAGCACAATATTATTTTCCTTCGCCAAATCAATCACGGAAACTGCAATATGGAACTTGTGATCATCGAGTATTAGTAGCACTTTTTCTTGGTCTCTCGGGTGAACGTGGGCCATAAAATGCTGCAATTATTGTGAAACAAGTTTCTCGTTTGACCATCCTGATGGATTTGCACCTCTAATTGAACCCGGTGGTGCACCCTGTAATATGTGGTCCTTGAGAAACACGCGACGGAATATTAACATGGCGGCACATGGTTCTTCTTCTTATGGTGCCTATCCGTTTAGGATGTTGGACACTAACATCACTATTCTGACTTTGTTGACTGCTGCCCTGAAAAGTCCGGTAGTGGTTAAGTTAAACCATTTTCGCAGGTTATGCAGCTAGGATATTCTTCTTCGTCCTGGACCTATTTTCCTATGCACTTTACCTTGAAGTATAGTCCGAAGTAGGTCATATCGTTATGCGATATCATTGCGCATTATATGGCCCAGGTATTTCAGTTTGCGACGTTTTATGGTTACGACTAGTTCGCGTTCTTTACCCATTCTATGTAGTACTTCTTCGTTGGTAACTCTGTCTATCCAGGAAATACTCAACATGCGTCTAT